AGAATCATCCCTTTTCAAAATAAAAGGGGTGGATGAGTGGTCTGAAACAGCCTGTATACGCCGAACTACGGACCTTTTATCCCAGGTAGTTGCTAACAGGTCGTCGCCTTCGTTTTCGATTGTATCTAGTCTGGTCCTGCTTTGCAGTGAGTTATTGCCGACGCAGCGATAGCGCGATAAAGCGACCGACCGACCAACCAACCGACCGACCGACCGACCAACCGACCGACCGACCGACCGACCGACCGACCGACCGACCGACCGACCGACCGACCGACCGACCGACCGACCGACCGACCGACCGAGTGTGTGTGTGTGTATGAACGAGCTACCGACCGACCGAACTATTCGTACAGAAAATAACGTCAGCAATTACGATGTTTGAACGCGGTTTGGAATTTGACCAAACTCGACATCCGTTGCTAACAGTTAACCCATTAATGTCCGCTGGGACGGAAATTTCGCGTTGATTTCAATGTTATGAATTTTTATAAAAATGCTCGAAAATTTTAATTCAAAGTACATTACTAAGAGTTTTCGAGGTCGCTCTTTCCGAATCCGCTGCGAGAATAATAAAAAAAGAGTGGTTGTATTGATTTATAACGGTTTTTTTTTCTAAAAAATGCGATTTTTTCTCGTCAATGTTTTTTAAATCATGGATTTCATTTTGATAAAAATGTTGAATATTACTGAAAAGTACTCCAATCGTGTCCTCAAAATTTGTACTTAAAATATATGTGGTTCTAAAATTTTTTGCAATTTAGTAATTTCAATATGGCGACCATCGGTCGAATAACTCGTTATGAATGTATTTTTATGAAAAACTATCTAAAATAAAAGTTGTCCTGTTGATCGAGTTCTTTCACGTGGTAGGCCCCAAATTTAGGTCCGATGTACTTTTCGAGCCTAACGGGGCCTAACGTTGATTTTTTGGTTTTTCTATATTTTTTATTACAGATTTGAAAATTTATATTTTTTATTACAGATTTGAAAAGTACAGAAAATTTTACGTCCAGATATGTATTTTTGAAATTTTGGGTTCGAGCCTTATACAATGATAAGAAAAAGATACTCTAATCCTCGGAGGAGGCAAACATCTCTTATTTACCGATCTTTTATGGCTTATAGGTTGGAAAGGGTGATTTCTAGAGAGAAAATAATAAAGTTATGTATATATATATATACAGGGTGGCTGACTATAAGTTTCCAACCTTCATAAAAAACATAAAAAACATCGAGAAAAATACAATGGACGGGAAAAAATTGGAATTGACTGCGTGAAATTTCAAGAAAAATTGCAAAATAGATGAGCGAATAAACGCGCAATAGGCGTGTGTTGCAGGCATTGCGGGCAACTCGAATCACTTCTCCGTCTTCTCGTGTCATTTCTCTTGAGCGTCGCTGCTTAGAGGCGGCCACGCGCTATAGTTGCCTGTCGCTCCGGCCCGAGCCGTGCGGAATAGCAGCCCTGCGATGCTCGCAACGCACGCCCACTGCACATTTATTCGCTCATCTATTTTGCAATTTTTCTTGAAATTTCACGTAGTCAATTCCAATTTTTTCCCGTCCATTGTATTTTTCTCGATGTTTTTTATGTTTTTTTATGAAGGTTGGAAACTTATAGTCAGCCACCCTGTATATATATATATATATATATATACACATATATACATATATATACACATATATATACATAACTTTATTATTTTCTCTCTAGAAATCACCCTTTCCAACCTATAAGCCATAAAAGATCGGTAAATAAGAGATGTTTGCCTCCTCCGAGGATTAGAGTATCTTTTTCTTATTATTATATAAGGCTTGGACTCAAAATTTCAAAAATACATATCTGGACGTAAAATTTTCTGTACTTTTCAAATCTGTAATAAAAAATATAAATTTTGCACCAAAAAATCAACGTTGGGCCCCGTTAGGCTCAAAAAGTACATCGGACTCAAATTTGGGGCTTACCACGTGAAAGAACTCGATCAACAGGACAACTTTTATTTTAGATCATTTTTCATAAAAATGCACTCATAACGAGTTATTCGACCGAGTTCCCAAGAATCCGGCGATATCTATGGTAATACATACCATACATATGATCGCCATATTGAAATTACTAAATTGCAAAAAAGTTCAGAACTACATATGTTTTAAATACAAATCTTGAGGACACGATTGGAGTATTTTTCAGTAATATTCAACATTTTTATCAAGATGAAATCCATGATTTAAAAAAAATTGACGAGAAAAAATCGCATTTTTTGGAAAAGAACCGTTATAAATTAATACAAACACTCATTTTTTTATGATTCTCGCAGCGGATTCGGAAAAAGCGACCTCGAAAACTCTTAGTAATGTATTTTGAATTAAAATTTTCGAGCATTTTTATAAAAATTCATAACATTGAAATCAACGCGAAATATCTGTCCCAGAGGGCATTAATGGGTTAAATTGCGTGTTACGTTACGCGGAATTCAAAAGAAATAATTTTTAAACGTATCCTCTATGAGTTTTCGCCGCAATTGTATCCCAGATCGTTCTTCGAATTGCGTCCGAATTTTCTACGGAGCAGGGTGGCGAAGGCTTAACGACAAGAACAGGGGTAAAATCTGAATCCAACGGCGAACGGTGAGTGAGCGCGCGGGGAGAGAAGATGCGTGTGTCGCGGACATTCCGCTGTCATGGTATGTTTCTCGGGCGCTCACTCACGCCGACGCTACCATTAATAATCACTTTGATGCATAACGTGGTCTTGCTATTATTTACGCTTGGCCGTCGCTCGTGCGGCATCCACAATTTACGGGCGTATTGTAGCTATGGCGGGACGGACTTATGCGGCGGCAGCCGGCGCGGTACGACTTTGCCGTTGCATCTCGCCTTTTTTCGTCGTCGGAATTAAGTATCCGGCGAGCTTCTTGGAGACGACCCAGCCGAGCCTCCGCCGTCAGTCTGCACCGTTGTAGCCTGCGGTAACAAATGGCCGTTGTGCGTCGATACTTGGAGATTGGCAAAAAAAAAGTAACAAAAATCACTGTACACGCGCGCGTGCAGTAATAACGAGCGTCTTCGTGTCTTTCTAAGAGGGATAAGAATCGTTCTTCGATGTCTTGGATTTCTAGTCTGGTGGTTGATAGACAGATAAGCATCGCAAATCGATTTTTGGCTCATTTCATTACGGTTCGTTTCATTCATTTATTATTATTATTACCCGATTATCACGAGAGCGAGTATGATATTTTGTACGAGTTTCGCACGATATTTTGCCAGATAAATGGGACAATAAAAGAAAATGAAGTAACGGATCGACGGATGACGCGGTAACACACGTGTATCCGTCACGAAGGCGCCGAGTGACAAACTCGCTGACGTGCTTTAATTAGCGGTCGGGAAAGAGATTAGAACTCAGCCTTAGGATCGCGCTGCCGTCACTAATGCATTTCGGGATAGGATTTCGCGGGCTCGGGGAGGGCGAGCACGAGTGAGACCTCTGGGAGTGACAATTTCAGGAGCGATTAGCCGTCACGCTCTGAGTTATGCGCTTACTAAACGGCGCGCCGCGCCCCATTGAGCCACACGGCGCGGTTTTCGTAAAAATAGAGTCACGAGGCAGGCGCGATCTCGTCGTCGCTTTCATCGCTCTTAGTTAACAGCGGGGGTGCGAGATGCGGAGAAGTGACCCTGAGATGCAGGGTCAGCGAAAGGAAAAGAAATAGAAAAAGAAAGAGAAAAACAGAGCCGAAAAAGGGAAAGCTAGGTAAAAAGTTCAAGTATGCCGGCGATTATTCGCATTAAAAGTTGAATTACGATCTCTTCGTCTATTTTTGGCGATATGCAGCAGGAATTTAATTTAAGCACTTATCGTTCTCTCTCTCTCTCTCTCTCTCTCTCTCTCTCTCTCTCTCTCTCTCTCCCTCCCTCCCTCCCTCCCACCCTCCCTCCCTCCCTCCCTCCCTCTCTCCCCCCTCCCCCTTTTCTTTCTCAACCTTTTTTCTTTTCCTTGTTAGGAATGTGGAGCGATAATTTGGGTCGTACAAACCGCACTAGCTCTCTCGATTTTTCCATGAATTACACAGCCCCACAAAAAAAAAGTAGTCGGTGCCTAAAACCGGACAAGTATATTCTTATGTATTTTGATCCGCTGAATCCGAATCCGAGGTCAGAATTAGACAATTGCTAGCTTTATCGTCCTTAACCTCAGAAAACTGATCATAATTTTACTTAACAAAATTAAGCTGTATATGGTTGAATTTAGCTTAAAAAGTGCTATAATTCTTGTCATTACAACAATTTTCAATTTGCAAAAATAAGGATGGTAGAAGAGGGATATAAAGAAATGTAATATTTTTAAGAAATCTAACTACACAGTTGTAAGGAGCGTAAAAAACCATACAACTTTTATCTGAAACATTTTTTTGTAGTTCTTGAAATTCTTTTATAGTTTCTGAAATATACTCTCTGAAAACCAGATATACCGATACATCTTGTAAGGCTGATTTTAACCCCTAAATATGAAATTGGGCATATAAAAAAAATAAGAGACATGTATTTTTCAAAGAGTATATTTCAAAAACTATAAAAGATACAAAAAAGTGTTTCATATAAAAGTTGTATGGTTCTTGACGCTCCTTACAACTGTGTAGTTAGATTTCTTAAAAATATTACATTTTTTTATATCCCTCTTCCACCATCTTTATTTTTGCAAATTGAAAATTTTTTTAATGACAAGAATTGTAATATTTTTTAAGCTAAATTCAACCACATACAGCTTAATTTTGTTAAGTAAAGTTATGATCAGTTTTCTGAGGTTAGAGACGATAAAGCTAGCAATTGTCCAATTCTGACCTCGGATTCGGATTCAGAGGATCAAAATACATAAGAATATAGTTGTCCGGTTTTAGGCACTGACCACTTTTTTTTTTTTTGGGCTGTGTTATTGATCGAACATATGAAACATATTAATGATTCAATCGAAGAAATGAATTCGTGTTTTTTTGCAGGTCGTACGTACAATGATTTGAATCAGTATCCGGTATTCCCTTGGGTGTTAACAAACTACGAGACAAAAGAACTCGATCTCAGTTTACCAAGCAACTATCGAGATTTATCGAAGGTACGAATACTTTGATGTGTGCGCATATTTACATATCTATATCTTATGTAGTGATAAGGGGTATTCTGCCGATCTTTTCACATGCGTCGTATGCGCGATACATATCGAAGCTTTGGATACTGTCTCAAATTTTTCATGTGTTATAATCAACCAACTCTTTGTGTGTTGTTACACAGCCGATTGGCGCATTGAATCCAAACAGAAGAATTTACTTCGAGGAACGCTTCCAGGGTTGGGAGCACGACACTATACCACCTTTCCATTATGGTACGCATTATTCTACCGCGGCTTTTGTCTTGAATTGGATGATACGCGTGGTAAGTATTCTATTATATTTTTCTACTGTATCTTTACCATTTTTCTTGAAATGGATCTTCTATATTCTATATTTTGTATCATTTATAATAACGTCTTTGTTCATTTAAATGCAACTAGTGTAAAATATGTATAAAGTAGACTTTTTATTAGCAGTTTTTTTGGAATTTGATAAGTTAAAAACTTATCTGCAACTATCAAGTCTCATTAAGCTGATATATTAATTGATCTTGTCGTTTTGATTTATAAATGATAAAAAGTTAAATGTAGCATAAGTGTGGAGCCAGATTTTCATTTATTAACGGACGTATAATTAGCTTCACCAATCGCTAATTTTTACTCTTTCCACTTACGAAACGTGTCCAGTCCGCGCCATAAATTTAAGCGACGCTTTTAGTACTGCGTGCACGCTAATTTTGGGGGCGTCAGAACGCTTTCGTGCCAACGACGCCCGCCTTCTCATGAAATATACACATTTGTTCTCTGCCGCATTTCCTCGTTCACTTGAAGTTCGTAGGCTGTAACTGGAAAACGTCTTTGTCTTCTTTTGTTCTCTGCGAGAACGAGACGCGATTGGAGCGGGTGGCACGAGTACGTGTCGTACCGTTACATGTAAATTCACGATTATCTTTTCTTATTGTCGATTACTTCGACTTTATCCACTGCCAATTTGCTAGTCATTGCTTCACTTTCTGTGATCATATCACCGGCGGATATAAATATAATCGAACTCAAATAATGCTTAAACATCTCTTAAACGTTCCAGGTATTCATGTTATCGCGCGTAATTAAATACAAAACAACGGCACAGCGCGCGCACATAACTAATTATTTATTCGCTCGCGCGATGTTTTGCGGTACGCTCGCATGCTAAAATGTTGCATCATAAACAATTTATTGGTCTATAACCGCTGCGCTCACTACCCCACCGCTTCGTGCGGAGATACGTTAACAATCCAGTTACAGCATTATCTCAAAGTCTTACCATAAAGAAATAATTTTAGACCTGTGTGTAATGTGTATTCATGGTTGTGGATGAATCACAAAAATCGGTTTTATGGCTTCGTATACGTTCACGTTCTCGTGTCACGGCACGAAGGTGCGCTGATTGTATGTAGCCTTTGGTAGCGTTCATTCGCCTGTCAAACAGAACGGATGACTGACCGAGAACGAAAAGGGCTCCACGAGAGATCTCTCGCATACAAAGAACCCGTTATAAAGTGGCCTTTAAGTGGTCGTTTAGAACCGCGCCGCCTTTTCCACGCTCTTTTCTCCCTCTCACACGAGTTCATTGTTAACGGCACTTGACGAGATTTACGTGCTCCAGTCGCTGAGAGAACTGCTTCACTTTTCCTGAAATGTTGCTGTTTTTTTTAAACGCCCGGTAAACAAATGATTCTTACAGGAACCGATGACGACTATGTTTCTGGCATTGCAAGGTGGTAAATTCGATCACCCTAACAGGCTATTCTCATCCATCGCTCTCTCGTGGAAGAATTGTCAACGTGACACGTCCGACGTCAAGGTTTGTTACGTTCAATTAAGATACTAGTATTTACATTTAAACCGAGACACATCGAATAGCCATATTACCGTTCTTATCATCGATGAGTAAATTCTTTCGATGTACGTCATATCGTATGTACGTAAATATCGTCCGCGCCGTTTAATATATTTAACAGGGTTAGGAACATTGTAACATTTTACTTCTCAATAGGAACTCATCCCGGAGTTCTTCTTTTTACCGGAAATGCTGGTAAATAGCAATCGTTATCATCTGGGCAGACAGGAAGATGGTAGCGTGGTTGGTGATGTTGAACTACCACCTTGGGCCTCGTCCCCTGAAGAATTTATACGTATAAATCGAATGGTATGCTGAGGTTATCTTATTCTCTTTCAACACGTTATTGTAATCCTAAGAACTGTCGAATCGAACCGATTCTTTTTCTAGGCCCTAGAGTCCGAGTTTGTATCTTGTCAATTACATCAATGGATCGACTTGATATTCGGTTACAAACAAAAAGGTGAGGTCACGTCTCAAATTGATTATGATAATCCAGAAATAATTCATCGTGTAAAGGCTATAGATAGTGAAAGATAAGCATAACAGTCTTTTTACACACTGTTTATGAGAAAGTCCTCTGACATACAATAATTAATATGGGAAAAACAAATAAGAGCCGATCGTGATTGTTGTATTAAAATTTAACAAAGATAGATGATTAATTCGGAAAATAAGAAGAAGTTTCTCTCTATAACAATTCTATTTTTATTAAATTGCACGATACGAATTACGATCTCCTCACATTTGCCTTTCTTGTATTAATAAATTTTTTACATACTTTTTTTCTAGTATTTATAATGGCTTCGCGAAAAAAAGAACTGCTATAAAAATACCGATAAAACTTCACTGAGATACGTCTTTCGACTGTTTGTACGAAATTGTTCTCCACGTCAAGTTCGAGCGGTAATTCGAACAGTAAATTGAACGGATAGTGTTAGCACAGTGTCAGGCGCCGCTCGCGTGTGCCCAAGGTTGCTCCGGGTGTTGAGACAGAGGCAGTCAAATCAAATTAGATTTCCACCGATGGTAATTACCGATGGCGCCTCTATATCCGGCGCTTCCTCGAAGATGTATTCCTCGGCATTGGGACGAAGAGCGAAGGATGCGCGTATTCGAGCTCGCACGTATGGAAGAAATTAGTTTTTAGTTAGCTTCCTCTCTCTCTTCTCCGGCTCATGTCCCGGCCAATTAGGCACGTGCGTTGGGCGCGACAATGTGTCCCACCCGTAATATGCAACACGTTTAGCGGTTGGTAGCACGAAAGCGAAGCCAACCACCGGAAATACCGGCCAGAAGCAATTGGCGCGAACTTTCGGCATCGTTCTCGTAAAACGCATCGCGCAGAAGGCATTGTCATCGCGCGCGTCGCGGCGACGATACGTAAAATGAATCATAAAATTGTAAGAAGAGAAAATAACTTTAAATACGTGCGCACATGTGTGTGTACATATATAACATTTTAATATTATTTTGTTCTTTTGACAGGTCCGGAAGCCATACGCGCAACCAACGTTTTCTATTATCTAACATACGAGGGTAGCGTAGAGCTTGACACAATTATTGATCCCATGATAAAGGAAGCTATTGAGAATCAAATTAAGAATTTCGGGCAGACGCCATCGCAACTCTTGATGGAGCCACATCCTCCTAGGAGTTCAGCGATGCACTTGGTTGAGTTATTTTAATATATCTTAATATCGGGTCATATACAAAGTCAAAATATTCCATTCAAATTCTTTTCTAATTAAATTTAATTTTATTCGGTGGAAATTGTTTATAAATAAAAAAATCGTTATTATTGTCCATGATATTTGCTAACTTTTTAGTAGTAAACTTAACACTATATGTTAGCATTGTTATTTGTATTAGATGTATATAATGCTATTTATTGAAAATCAAAATCAAACCGAAATTTTGAATCGACTTAATATACAAGGTGTTTCAGAAAAGGCTGGTTATATATATATGTATATTATATAGTTGTATATTATATAGTTATATTCTTATCAAGACAAGATAAAAGTTCGTATAAATATAATATCTAAAATACTTAAGAAGGGAACCTGGTTTAGAAGGCTAAAAAAAAGGAGATTTTTATGAATTTTTTTTATTGACAATAATGTAGTTGAGGTTTCTAAAACTTTTAAAATATTTAACTGCTTATTTGAAGATGTAAAAAAAATTTTTATGTTGTAAAATAATTGCAAAATGGCACCGTGGTGTATTTTTAATCAGAGCGCCTCGCCAACCGAGTTGCCAATCTGCGGAAAAAATGTAGCCCGCAATTTTGGTCTGAAACGAAAAAACCAAAAAGATTATTAATTTTCATGTATTTTTATTCTATGTGAACCAGGGACATAGTTAAAAAACCGTAAAACACAAAATTTTTTAGCACTTGAACAAAAAAATGACATTTTTGAGAAAAAATATCCTCCATTTTTATGCAATAACAATTATTTAAATTAATATTTTTACCAATGTTTGAGGTTCACATAGAATGGTTGTTCATTTTCTAGCTAACGCACTTTAAATCAAGTCGATTGATCAATTAGTTTTTTCTCTATCTCTCCCACAGGTTTTAAGAAAATATGAAAATGATATTTCGAAAAAAACGCGTTTGCGGTACAAAAAAATATCATTTATTGGTGATTTACCGCGATCTTATGCTAATCAGCTATACCAGGACCATACTGCAAGCCTTCAGCTTCTTCATAAAACTCGTTTTGCTACATTTGCTCCAGTCTACGAGCTGTGCGAGTCTCCTTGGTCGTACTGCTTCGGCGCCGCTCCCCTCTCGTAACTCGCTGCGTATCGTAATTATCAACAAACATTTTGCACTGCTGGCCGATATTGATTTCTAATAACTGCATCGTTAATAAAATCGCAGTGTAGCCTTCATTAAAAATGCCAGTAATCAAATATGCAGCGATTTGAACAATTTTAAAGTCCGAATTGAGGTGTTTGGGAGCGATATGCCACACAGTCGAATTGAAGGATTCGTTGAAATTTTGTATATGCCCACCTAAACACCTAGTCAAAAGATCTTCATTGAAAAGATCTTCATAGATCGAAGTAAGGTGTTTTTCAATATCAGGCTTTAATGCTACGTACTGATGCTCTTGACTAAATTATCACTTTCATTCTTGGAATGCTGGCTGCCATGAAGTCTTCTTTTCGGCGGTTTCGAAATGCTCTGTGAAGTACCTCTTGAGCCTTTTGGATACATATTTAAAACTGTCAAACGATCTTTGCTAAATAGAAGCTCTTTACTCGTCGAGAATCGGAGCAAAACTGACCGTTGAAACTATAAATGCCTCAAAACCAAAACACATACACTTACTGTCCCTAAGTCTGTAAGTAAACCCACACACCTTTATATACGTATTGGGACACGAAATTACAATAGTATAAGTCGTGCGTTACTCAGATAAACATCTGCTGAGTATTAAATCTGGACAAAAGGACCGAGGGACAAAGCGCGCGGCCCGCTCCGGCCGACGCTGCGCGACGCTGACTCACCATGTGTTCTATAACTTTTAAAATATTTCGAATTGGGCTCTGAAACTTTGGGAATATATTCTTGAATAGTTTAACTATCGATTAAGCAAAAAAAAAATTCGAAAATCTTGACCGTATAAACCAGGTTCCCTCCTTAATTAATAAGTTAATGTCGAAGGTTAAAATAATTCATTTCAATGTTAATATAATACATATTTATTTAAAAGGATTTCAGAAATAAAAAAGAAATTACAAAAATGCTCAAGATGTTCACTGCGTGAAGCAAAACAATTCTGAAATTTTCGCATTATAAACTGTTTCGTACGTTTAAACGTTCTTGAAGTACTGCATACTGTTTAATATCTCCATCTTTTATTCTTTGTAAAAGTTATTCATTCGGAACTAAGGAAATAATTGTTTTCAAATAGTCTCACAGATAATGGTCAATATATAGATTTAATAATTTAAATAAATATAGTATAAATATATTTAAATAAATATTATAGTATGTATACGTATTACTAATTTAAATAAATGTTCTAGTATGTAAATATTATGTATATTACGTTAACAACGAAATTAATTTAATTTTTTTTAACCTTGACTCGACATTGACATTTATTTAAGCATTGATATTTTACGCATTATGTTTATAGGAACTTTTTTTGTTTGTTTTGAGAAACATATAGCCAGTTCATTCTTTTTGAAATATTATGTATGATCACATGATTAAGTGTTTCCGTTAATTTTGAAGGTTGACGGTGAATGGATTGTTTATTATTTATTATTTATTATGTAAATTATTTTAATCAAAATGTTTTCGGCGAAACTTTCGAAAGCGGCCATGCTCCGATTTCAACCAAACTTAGTGAAAAGCTATGTTATGAATTAAAATGGAAGGTTATAAAAGGATTTTGACGACTCAAACGTTAAGTGCTTTTTTTTTAACAATTTTAAGTTGATCAGTACTTTTATCATATTTTATGTCCACGCATTAAAACTTAAACACGATTAACGCAATCGGCGGCAACAAATAAAAAATACACCAAAAAGATTTTTTACAACTCAATATATTGGCGGAGGTAGAAAAGAGACATTGGAAGTAAGAAGAGGTACGCGTAACGCGCCGTGCTAAACGCACTTGCGACTTACGCATTTACGAAACTTTTTTGGTCAGTGCAGCACGCATCTGATCTAACACGTAAGTTCCAAGTACGTTTAGCAGGGCGCGCTACGTGCCCCCTTCCCCCATCCCGCCTATCTACTCTTCGCCCCACACTAACACCTGCCCACTCTCGTCACAAGTATGCACAGTGCACGAATGCACATACTAGTATAGTGAATAGCACTTGTTTGCACGCGATTGTTGACTACGTTTTGTTAATTTTGAATCGTAGACATAAAATAGATATAAGATATGATATAAAATAGATATAAAATATGATAAAAATACTGCTCAACTTAAAATTGTTAAAAAAAACCACATAACGTTTGAGTCGCCAAAAATCCTTTTATACCTTCCATTCTAACCTTCCATTCTAACTTATAACATAGCTTTTCACCAAGTTTGGTTGAAATCGGAGCATGACCGTTTTCGGAATAACAGCCATATTTTTTATGATTTATAACAACCTTCTCTCATTTTTTGACAATAAGTAAATTCCACGAAAAACTTATTTTTAGAAGCAATCCATTCATCGTCAACTTTCAAAATTAACTGAAACACCTAATAGCTAGAAAAATAGCTCTATATTGTTTATAAATGTATATACTCGTGTATACTTTCAGACACCAATGATGTTTTCGAGCATCCCGGATGACGTGTGTATGACCATCAAATTCCCGTCAAATTCACCGATTTGTCATATCTCAGCCAACACTTATCCTCAATTGCCATTGCCATCGGTTGTAACGGTAACTACTGGGCAGCAGTTTGCTGTTAATCGGTGGAATACTAATTACGCAGGTGAGTAATTTTCTATATGCTTTAGTACTCATGTCGATTTCCATCACTTCATAATTATTGTAACTCGTACCTTCCACAGCCTCCGTGCAATCACCGAGTTATGCGGACACACCTCAGGCGCAGGCTGCCAATCAGCCATTGTCCATGGATCCCGTTCTCTGTGAGTACGCATATCAATTATAAATGACATTCTTTGTGGAAATAATATTTTTCCACTATACTATGGACAAACTACTATGCATTTATTCCCAATACACACATATACATATACAATAGGTATGTGTTAAAAGGTAAGGTCAACTAAGTAAGAGGTAAAAGAGCTGTATTTACTAAACTATAACAAATATAAATAAAAATTTATATACATTATGTATTTTACTTAAACTTCTTTTTTAATTCTTAATTGGTAGACCTTATCTTTTATACCCTGCATATAGGTCGTTACAATACATGACAAAATTCGTGTGTGGATAGAAAGAGTTAAAATGAATAGAAAAATTCTTTTCCATTTTTTAAACAATTATCTAAAATTTCGAGTTATTGGTAAAAGAAGGTTGACGAACCAGTGCGCGAAATATGATGATATAGTACAATCGTATGAAAAATTGTCGTGCGATTGTCTCTTAGTAGCGATCAATATCAAATATTATGACAAAGAATTATTTATATATTTCTATATGTATAGAAAATCAATGATAGTAAAATTTGTAACTCTATAAATTTGACAGAAATATTTACATAGCCATAGTCGTATAGTGCATAGCCATTTAAAAAGAATGTTTATAAACGTGATTATTTAGGAAATTAGATATTAATATTATATGATTTTATACATACGTAATATCTAAATCTATCTCTGTTATATCTATCTTTGTTTTATCGTATATTTTTTATCGTACATATATCCAGATTAGTTGCTTGCGAAAAAGTTTATGAAAGTTTAAATAATAATTAGTAACTAATTAAAAAATAATTATATAACTATTTAAAAAGTAATTAATAACACTTGTTTAAATATAAGAAATTTTAAACAATTAACTTTTGAGCAGTCATCAATAGTAAAATAATTATTCTTAAATAGCACAGAACTATTTTATAAATTTTCTGTAGATATTCGTTATGAATATTTAAATATTCTGTAGAGAAAGAGAAGATTTCAGGTTGTCTAAAAAGTATTGAGCCTTTTGCGCACGAGATAGCGTTAGTGTGTCAAATCTCAGGGTATATGAGTCGCAGCAGGTCAGGCCTAACGTCATTTGACAGCTGACAGTTGAAGCTAGTAGACGTACAAAAAATGTTGGAATTCTTATAATCAGACGTAAGGTATTGCGCCGTGAAGATGAGCGAACTTTCTGCAAAACCGCGCTACATTTTACAATTTTATTTCGATAAAGGCGCACATGATGCGCAGGCTTGTGAAGAAATTTGTGCTGTTTATGGGCAAGATACGTTGTCAAAAGCAACAGCCAAAAAATGTTGAATCGCTTTCGTTCTGGAAATTTCGATGTCCAAGATGCTCCTCGCAGTGCAATCACAGAAAAAATGGATGATATTCTGACAAAAGTCGATCGAAACCGGCATGTAAGCAGTCATGACATCGTCAATGACCTAAACATTCATCACCAAACAGTGTTAAATCATTTGGAGAAAGCTGGCTACAAAAAGAAGCTCGATGTTTGGGTCCCACATGATTTGACTAAAAAAAATTTACTCGATCGAATTTCTATCTCGATCGAATCTCCACTGAAACGTAACGAAATCGAGCCATTTCTGAAGCGGTTGATCACGAGTGATGAAAAGTGGATTACCTACGACAACAATGTGCGAGAAAGATCGTGGTCGAAGCGAGGAGAAGCTCCACAATCTGTGGCAAAGCCCATACTGTGACGCCCAAGAAGGTTATGCTGTGTGTTTGGTGGGGTTGGAAGGACATCGTGCATCACGAGCTGCTGCCGCCAGGCAGAACGATAGACTCGATCCTGTACTGTCGACAATTAGCGTGATTGCACCTAGCAATTCAAAAGAAACGGCCGGAACTGGTCAAGAGAAAGGGTGTCGTATACCACGCTGACAATGCCAGACCGCATACATCTTTAACGACCTGTCAGAAATTGAGAGAACTTGGCTGGGAGGTTTTAATGCATCCACCGTATAGCTCGGACCTGGCACCGTCAGACTATAATTTGTTTCGGTCTCTGCAGAACTCCTTGAATGGTGTTAAATTAGTTTCAAAAGAGGCCTGTGAAAACCACGTGTCATAATTTCTTGACCAGAAATCATAGAAGTTCTATAGCGATGGGATTATGGTGTTGCCGGAAAAATGGCAGAAGGTCATCGAACAAAATGGTGCATATGTGGTTTCATAATGTTATTTTCAAATAACAATAAATGTATTGTCAACTTTGACCTCCAAAGGCTCAATACTTTTTAGACAACCTAATATTAAACACTTATATGTTTATAGTATATTCAAATGATGCAATTATAGATATTTCAGGAATATATTAGGGACTTCAATAAGTTCTCGCTGTTTCCCGACGGATAGTGTTATCTTAGCCTTTTTGCGTCAGGCAATACTACAGCCAACTTCATCGTGAAGCTCCACCATTACCCATACAGCACAGACAATTGCAGTAATATTGCTGCAATGTTGCAACATTGCACATTGCAGTGCAATATTGCAGAGATATTGCAAAAACAATATTTTGCATTATTATATCTGCAATGTTGTAGCAACATTTCAAATTGCGGTTATTATTAAAAAATTATACAAGATATCGTTAAATGGAAGAGCACTTTTTCGTTCCTCTGGCTTAGCTCTACGCCCCTATGGAGTTGGTATGTTGCAATTATGGGACACTTTGTATATTGCTCTAATTCTCATATTTAATCATCAATTATATTTAATCACTACGATTTTCGGTTTTACAATGATTTAGTTTTATATCCCAAACTTAGATGTCTTATTAATTCAAGAATAGTTACCACAAGTATTTAAGACCTGTATTATTTCAAATAGCAAGGTGGTATCTTATTGACGTTCTATTGAGTCAATAAAACGGCGTCTTTTTAAGATATCATTTTATTCTTTGAAATATTACAGATCTTGGGAACTTTCTATGACTATTCTTGTTTGATGTCAGAAATGAAAACAATGGTATATTAATCTTTATTTTTTTATGTACGTTAAAATAAGAGATTTCCATAAAACGACACTTATGATCGATTTTACAAATTTGTAAAATGTTCTGAACACTTTTCTTTTGCTGTATGATAATCATTCACTGTAAATAATTAGTGAAATTTATACAAATGTTGAGTTGAACATATTATCTCTCATGATTATTGTTACAGAATTTTTATGGAAAATTATTGATTGTCACAATAAGAGGAAAGTGTGTCCAGAATATTTTATAAATTTTTAGATCGATCACAAATATCATCCTCTGGAATGTATCTATATAACAAAAACAATTTTTGGCATACGATCTTTCGCTTCTACCGTCATTAAATAAAAACTTTCCAGGAGACTCAATATATACGGGATGTCCCATTTTAAAGGACCTACTCAAATATCTCAAAAATACTGCGTTAAATCGAAAAATATTTCAGACAAAAGTTGTTTGGCTTGAAGGGGGACATAAGACAGCGACAACATTTTGTTTATAGATGGCGTCACTTTTGAGATATTCACTGATCATCAATTTTCTTAAATAGAAATTCCAATCTCTTATTATATCATCTTTTTCTACCAACTAATTTGAACAACTTTTGTCTGAAACATTTTTTTATTTGCTTAATATTTTTTGAGATATTTAAGGAAAACTTGGTAACTTTTTCAACATTTAACTTACGATATCTCGCTAACTATTCGTCGAAAGAAAAAACAGCATTAGACTTTTTTACTTTATTTATTATCAAGAATATATTACTATAATACTACCCTAACTTTTGTTAATTTAATAATTTTGAAATTGCCAAAGGTCGATAAGTTAGGTTAAGTTATAACAAAAGTTAGGGCACTATTATATAATATGTTCTTGATAGTAAATAAAATAAGGAAGTAATACTATTTTTTCTTTCGACGAATAGTTAGCGAGATATCGTAAGTTAAATGGTGAAAAAATTTCCAAGTTTTTCTTAAATATCTAAAAAAATATTAAGCAAATAAAAAATGTTTCAGACAAAAGTTGTTCAAATTAGTTGGTAAAAAAAGATGATATAATAAAAGATTAGGATTTCTACTTAAGAAAATTAATGATTAGTGAATATCTCGAAAGTAGCGCCATCTATAAACAAAATGCTGTCGCTGTCTTATGTCTACCTTCAAACCAAACAACTTTTGCCTGAAACATTTTTCGATTTAACGCAGTGTTTTTAAGATATTTGAGTGGGTCCTTTAAAATGGGACACCCTGTATATATATACATATATACAGGGTGTCCGGAAAATGATTATTAATATTTTGTGTACTGGTAGATTGGGTATAGCCGAGAAGAAAAGTCATGTACCATAATGTCAAATTGGCAATAGTTATCGAGTTATTAATTGAAACATGTGAGCCAATGGGCGCGTAGAGAGCGCTGGGCAGCCGCCTCTTGTCGCTTGCGCTCGCTCACTCCTTGTCGCACGCGCACGCCTCTTGTCGCTTACGGTTGCCTCTCGCCGCGCGAGGTAAGCCATCTTCTTATACACAGAGCCCGTCCTGTCGCTTTCTCGTGCGCTCATTCGTTTACACATATTAATTAATTACGGAATAAATGTTAAAAAAATTGTAAAATGGCACAAGACTTTTTTAATTGTTTTAACGAATTCTACCAGTACACAAAATATTAATGATCACATTCCGGACACCCTGTATATATATATAAAGCATTATTGCATACAAATTATATTACAAATGTTGCTGCAATGTTACACTGCAATGTTACACTGCAATGTTACTGCAATATTTCATTGCAATATTGCTGCAAGCGGACATTTTACCTTTGCTGCAAGATTGCAGCAACATTGCAGCAACATTTCGCATCATTTCTGCAATGTTGCAATTTTGCAAAACAACGTTGCTGCAATATTGCTACAACGGTGCTGTGCTGTATGGGTAGGCTCGAAGTGACAGTATATGTTATTCCGTCGAAGCGTAAACAACATATTTTTTCA